GGGGGGATCTATTGGTTTTGGTTTCACTAAGTCAAAGGTTAAGGTCACAGTGACTATAAATAACCTAATAACCTGAAATTTTAGTAAAGTACTAGTCTCGTTCAACCAGACGCTTGATCACTTCTAATTCTCTGTTCGGCGTAGCTTGTGCAGACAACAAGAGTCCGGTTGAATGAGACTAGTAAAATGTTTCCAGAGACTTTTTCTTCAACGATCAATCAGATTTAAACCAAACTTAAAGTAAAGATGTCCCTTGGCAGGAAGAAGGTCCTTATTGCGTTTAGGGGTACTAGATCAAATATCAAGGTCAGAGTAGCTATAAATAGATTGAGATTTTGTCAAATTGTTAATTTCCGATTGATATCGCTTGAACAATTAATACATCCAATCCAAACCAAACTAAGATGGATGTTAAATATTTAATATGGGCAACAAACCAGGGCCGTTTTCGTTAATCGCGATCCAAACGGTTGAAACAGTTGGACAAGAGTTGTTCGTTTATGAAACAAGGTCGGACCAAGTAATCGGAGGCTGCTTTCAGGCGAGCCTTGACGAAGTAAACTTATGCAGGTCCGCATGGATTTATACCCGAAAATGTTACATTTAAAACGGACGTACTGGTTGTTCCACATATACGAATATGCCCCAGGATCTACCATTTTTCCGTATTTATAAAAAAAGTTTAGACTCCGTCAATAATTTGTATTTCCTTATATGTTGTAGGTACGTTTACCATTTTCGCCCCGACCAATGACGCATTCAACAAACTGCCAGCCGGACTCCTCGATAACCTGAAGGGAGTGGACACAGTAGCCCTCGTGAACCTCCTCAAGTATCACGTGACTGCTGGTATCCTGATCGCCCCTCTCCTTAGCAATGGCATGACCGTGACCTCCCTGGATAACCGCACGATCCACGTCAACAAGTACCCGAACGGGGTATGTTACATAACAACCACTTCTATGAAGGATAATCGTGATGCAATCGGGAACCGTCGGCACTTTCCGTAAGCCAGAACCAACGGTTCCCGATTGATTCGTGACGTATACCAATTCTATTTCCGAAGCACAATTGCTTGAATACAGCCCACGATTTAGAACGAATATGTCAATATATGTTAGCCTATTTGTTTCGATGAAATAAGTGACAAACCAGCTTAACATAGATTAATGGGGCGGCGTCAAATCTGTATTTAACGACACATATCAGCCTAGCAATTGGTCAGAGTTTGGTTTGGTTTGGTTTGGTTAAGTATTGTTTCACGTCCTATCAACAGCTATGGTCATTTAAGGACGGTCTCCCCTGTGTGCAAGATGCATGCATGTAGTGAATGCGTGTGTTTTTGGAGGCTGCGATATGTTCGTGTATGTCTCCTTGTGATAGCGCGGAACTGATGCCGACTTTATAGTGCTACCTCACTGAAAAATAATGCCGAAGACACCCAGCAGGACACCCCACCCGGTCACATTATACTGACAACGGGCGAACCAGTCGTCCACTCCTAAATTGCTGAGCGTTAAGCAGGAGTAGAAATGATCGTTTTTGCAGACTCTGGTATGTCTCGGCCAGGGGACAGAACCTAAAGCTTTCCTCATAGGTGCGAACATCCAACTAAAGGCCAAAGATGAGACATTAGGAAGAAGAAAATTGTTTAGAAAGAAGAAAAAAGATAAGATCCAAAATTTAGTCGCCTCTTACGATCATGCAATGGGGGCAGCCGGTACAATTCTTACGCCCTACCTGCTGAGACAGATTGGTCAGAGTGTTTTTTAACCCGCTGAGACCAATTATATATATATGACATATTCTTTGATGCAGAGAGCGTAAATGAGCGTAACACCCGAAGTATCGATAATGTGTTGATATTTGCATCTTCATCTTTATTGTTTCTTTTTTAATTTCTTTTCTATTTGAGCTTTTTTTTATTTTATTTTTTCTATTTAATTGGCATCAAAATAAACAGTAATTTGTTCGCGGTGGTTAGCAGAAGATGCTCAGAAAAGTTAAATAATTTCTTGCAAAATTATGTTTCAATGTATTAAATCCATTTATGATTCACGGTACAAAAACTGAAAATTGATCCAGAAACCATATTACACCCTAACAGGCGGTGGTTTTAGAAGGCTCCACCGTAACCGGAGGTGACATCATCGTGACGAACGGAGTCCTCCACGCTGTCAGTAGTGTCATGTTTCCCGCTGTTTTGTCTATTGCCCAGTATATGGGGAAGGACGAAAGCGAATACATTGATCTTTACTCGGCTCTCATCTTCACGGACCTGGAACAAGCTCTAGACTCTAGTAAGAATGTCATATTTACTTCGAGTTTTTCTTGACGATTTTAAATGAACTCTCTAAATGCTTTGTCATTCAATTATAATTCCACTTTTTATTTGAGATGGTGAAGCTAAAAAATGATTCCGAAAGTTTTAAGTTTAGCGGTCTCCTGAAATGGGTTCCCTGATGTTTTCGTCAAGAACACACTAATCGGGAACCGTCGGCACTTTCCGTAAACGAGAACTCGTTTTAAACAAATTGCCCATAAAGAATGTTTTTCATGTGTTTAATGGCTTGAATGAGACATATACAACAGACTGGATTGACTGTCGCAGTTTTTCTACTCCTGCAGGCTTCGAAAAATACAAATATCAAAGATCGCAGTTCTTCTAGCGGAGAAAAATGGTACTAAGCAGGTATTACAGTCTATCTTAACGACAGACTGACGCCTTATAATTAGGCGGCACTCCGCACGCGCCAATTGGCACATTTCTTGGGACCGCCTAATTAGATATTATGAAATAAATATTCCTTATTATGCATTATTTGGAAGACATGGTGTCATTAGTGTGTATTCGTTCTATTCAGAGGGAACTTTCACCGTATTTGCCCCGAACAACCAGGCTTTTAACCAGGCGCTCGGCACTCTCCAGACAGTCGCCTCCGACAAGAATACCTTCGCAGGTAAAACGCTATATTTTATATCAAAAAATAATAATTTAAGTTGTCAAGATGAAGATTTAATTAATACTTGTGTTAATGATAAATTATTTGATGTTTCGGTTTATAAGAATGTAATTCTTGTCCGCAGATATAGTTAGCATTTGACTTATTATCCCCCGCTTTCACCGAAACGGGGGATATTAATTTGGGTTTGTCCGTCTGTCTGTCTGTCTGTCTGTCACGCTTCGTTTTTCGTGCAATAACTACAACAAATGTTAACCGATTTTCTTCAAACTTGATCACAGGGTTGAATGCCTTAAGGGCTCGGCCATGTTTGATGATCATTTTCAGCGGACCCGATTTTGCGGAGTTATGGCCCCTTGAATATCGCAAAACGTCATTATCTACCGCGTTTCGTTTCCGTGCAATAACTGCAACAAATGTTAACCGATTTTTTTTTCAAACTTCGTCACAGGGTTAAATGCCTTAATTAAACGGGCTCGGCCAAGTTCGATGACCACTTTCAGCGGTACCATTTAGGCGGAGTTATGATCCCTTGAATAACGAAAAACGTCATTATTTGCCGTTTCTGTTCATTAACTCTCGCAAATATTATCCGATTGTCTTCAAACTTAGTACCCGGGTTAAACGCATTAATGGCTCGGCAATGTATGACAACCACTTTAATCGGACTCCATTTGGCAGAGTTATGGCCCCTTGATTAACGAAAAACGTCATTATCTGCAGTTTCCGCTTAATAACTCTAGCAAATATTAGCCAAATTCCTTCAAACTTTATAACAATGTGTGTATTCCTCTGTCTTTCCATCCATCTCTGGCACTCTTTGGTTTTCGTGTGATAATTGCTGTAGATATTGTTCAGATATTTCAACCAAATTCCGTACGCACATTCGACTCATGCTAAGTTTGCTAACCGATGTGATTTGTGCATATTTACGGGTAATCAATGAGGTATAGGGCTTCTTTTCAAGTTTCAAGCTAAACATTATGTCTCAACAGCACGATACTCACATGTTTAAACCTAACCTCAATAATGTTAACCTACAATATGTCCTGCAAGCGGGGGATTTAAATTCCGCGAATTTGCTAGTTTCCCTTTGTCTGGTAGACTTTTGTCTATAGAGTTATCTTCCCTTATTGGTGTCATCTTAGTCACCGAAGCGGGGGAATATCCTGTTCCCAGTCTTCTCCTCAATTTTTAGCTGTCGTGTGGTTAAAGTCATTGGCCATCATACGTCATACATAAAAAAGTATAATCATTATAGGCGGGGATTCAAATAAGATATTGAACCTTATATTCACTGAGTTTGTCTTCTATTTGATAAATATTACAACAAGACATTCATGATACCGCATATCGACATGGCTAAATTGCAGTGCTATAAATTTAGGTGTGAGTTATATAAATACAGCTCTGTATTACCAATGACTTGTATGGACTTATCTAATTCCGTGATAAAATACCTACATTCCTGAGGGTTATGTATTGCATGCTGTTTTACAAAAAGGAAGCAATTGCTAAGGTCAAACAATTCTCTCCAAGATGGAATTGAAGTTATGTAATATTGGTCTCATGAATATTTTATTTTAGTATACTGAGTATCAAACCTCTATGTCCCAATCTCTTCCATATAAATAAGCAATCAACGTCGCAGTGACGCTTCAACAGCTTTAGCTACACGTAACAAACGTTTGGTGAGAGAGACGAAGTATTACGTACGCTTATACTGTATGAAATGTTCGTTGTATAGGCCTATACACATTCGTGGTTTTCGTGGAGGCTACAGAACCACGAAAATAAACACAACAAATTTAATTGATATACTTGACTACTTTTCGTTTTATATGGTGGTATCCAAGAAATTTTGTACCACGAAACGATCTTAATGGTTTTAAGCCACGAATGAAAATATCTACGAATATTTCATGTTATACAGTTATTTTGGAGCTTGTTACATTTTTTGGTATGTTTCTCAAACAAGCACAATCCTTGAATCCTTCTGAAACGAACGGAAACAATTAAGATGTACACATCACAAAAGATATTTGTTCTTGCACTCTTTACCCTTTTTTGTTTATTCTATTGTAGTATTTCCCCATGATACGCATTAAAACGGAATTAAGATTCTCAATTTCTATTTCATTGCTATGTAGTACGACACCTTTGAGTGATTTTGGCTGTCAAATGGTAGAATCGGTTTTGCATTATCATGTTTCCTCTTCTCTAGACATTCTGAAATACCACGTGGTCCCCCAGACTCTGTTCTCAGCCGGACTGACGGACGGTCAAACCCTTACCACTCTCCAGGGAACAGACCTCGTCGTCCACATCGACAGCACTGGTAAGATTCGATCATTATATTTAGTATGTGTGGGTTACATTGAGATACGATTACTTGTATAAGTAAGTCTAGAGTAGATTGTCAATGCCTCCGCCAAGAGTCCAACTCGGGACCTCTGGTGAGCTAAAGAGAATAACATGAGAGGCCACTGGTCGGCCTTTTTTCTATTGGATATGATTTTGCCGACTGTGACCTCTTATTTCCGAAGCACTAATTCTTTGATGCAGATTCCGTCCTAAATCCGGGCGGAGCAAAATCGGCTTGAAAAACTCACTTAAGTGGTTAACAGTTAATAACAACAATGTCTACTCACGGTTCATATAATATAGATCTCATATGTATGCCACAGACACAAATATATAGTATATTACTGAATGGAACACTCAAAATACATGACCATGTCGTTGTAGCACTTCTCTGACCTACTTTTAAAACATGGCTTCCTATGTTAATAAATAAATAGCATGGGGGGGGGGGGGGGGGGGGGGGGTGTTATAAACGGAACGAAATGCGGAGTTTGTTTGTGTCCGCTTGTAGAACAATACATGTAATCTATTTTTGTATTAACCGGGAAATCACGGCAAATGTTTTCTGCTTCACTTCGTGTTTTCACAACTCCCTCCACTGCCACCTAGCGGATATACCGAGTTATCGCTCTTCTCCCAAAAAACTTTTATCCAATCAAAATGACCGTTACATACACACTCCATCGTCGTGTTGACAAAAGCAGGTGTATGTCGAGGCGGAGTATAAATGACAGAGCAACATGAAAACAATCCAAAGACAGCACAACTATTTTCCCAGGTCATCATTTACATGAGGCACGTAGTCAAGGATTTCCACCAACTGATTTACTGGG